TTCCTGCGTATTAGATGTACATAAGCTTCATTGAGTGTATTATTTCTAAACATGATTTTTGTCTTTTACCAGAGCAATGAAGACTTGACTAATGCAGAATATTCTGTAGCCAACTCAAATTCAATTTTTGCCAACTCCAATGTAAGTGGTCAGGAGATAAATTATATTTATATTGAGATTGCATGCTTCTCTTGTGGCTTTACTTGGCTTTTATAAAACTTAGTGAAGTAGATGTGAGTTTTGACCTTGTTCATATGAAAATTCTGAATGCTAACACAGAACCACTTCATGCTATTAATATTTTAAGTATTTCATTGGGTTTTCAGTAGGGAATTAATTGAAAGATACTGTACTCTTGGGCTGTGTTTCATAAATTTGTAAACCAGCTTGCTGAACAGTAAAAATATTTTCCAGTGTAACTCGCTCCAGTAAACTGGACTTGTAATTTTAGTGATTGTAGATGTAGTAGAGCTCAAATGTAGACCTTAAAAGTTAGTCATTCATACATTCCCTGTGTATGTTAGGATGGTTTTGTTTCTTATTTCTAAGTAGAATCTGAGCTGGCAATTATTTTTAAATTAATGAATGGGTTTTTTTTGTTCTTTAGACTGAATAGCTAGCTTGGGATGTTTCCTTCCTGTCACTTCAGTGTTAGGGAAGTTGCTTTAAGTTCATTAGGTGTTGGAAGTAGTCTTCAGTATTCTTTCTTCGCCAGGAGTGTATTGCAGCCCTGGACCAAGTTTTACCCAATGAGGTTGTGGAATCCATGTCCTTGGAGATACAGCTGATCTACTCTAGTGCTGGCAATAGTCCTGCTTTGAGTAGAAGGTTGAACTAGATGACTTCCAGAGATCCCTTCTGACCCACGTTTCTTTGATCTCATTGGTGTGTTTTTAAAAAAACGTGAATTATTCATCCTACAGTTCACTTATTTGAATACATAGTGTAGAGTTTCCTTGGTAATTCCTCTTTCTGTTTTACTGTTGTCTTGACTCTGTCCCATGTTCCTAACAGATATGTGGATGTGCTTGTAGGTGTATAGGGACCTTAAATAACTGGCGAAAATAAATCCTGAAAACTGTTTATCTGTGCGTAGAGAACAAGTGACTTTTCTGTAGCCCCAGTAGTGTGATGTGAAGTGTTTGCCCTGTCCCTCCCCTTTCAGTATCATTAATAAATATCGTAGAAGAAACATACATTGAGAGACAGTTCTTTAAGCTGATTGAGAGAGTGGTGGGGGAGTGGGGTACCAACAGTGATAGGGTGTGCCAAATTTTAAGCTAATCAGGAACAGTGTTTTCAACTTGGTACCAGGCTAGCCATTATCAGACAGCAGCTTTCTGTATGCAAAAATATTTGATGAAAGCCAAAAGAGCTTTCTGGTGTATGAGATGGGGGAGTAGGTTATCTAGAAGGCTGGTGATAGAGGAGCAGGGATTTCTAGTGTATGTTCTTAGGATGGCTTACTGTATTTTCATTTTCCAGTGCTTGTTCCTATCTCTATTCTTATTCCTATGCTCTGTTCTCGTCCTTTTGTATTTTCATAATGAATACCATAGAATCATAGAATGGTTAGGGTTGGAAGGGACATCAAAGATCATCTAGTTCCAACCCCCCCTGCCATGGCCAGTGCCATCCAATGACGTCTTCTTTTCCCTTGCTCCCTGGCATGAGAGCCCAGCGTGAACCTAAGTGAAGAATGACTTGATTGCAAAGATAGATTCTTACAGTGCATTGTGAAAGAACAAGAGATATCTAAAATATAAATATAAATAGATGGTTTCACAGTCCCTGCTTGTAGCGTGATACGTGAAAAGTTAAAGGCTTCTGAGTTTTTGTCATTAAAGTTTTTGCAAATACTGAAAGCTCTGTCTTTGTATATATTCAGAATTGCTACCATGAAGTAGGATTGACTGTCTTGATGCCCGTCTCATGCCTTTCAGTGGCAAAGTTTACAGATTCAGTGTCAAGGGTTGAGTGCCTCAGCTGGTAAGCATGCTCAGCCAACACCTAACACAAACAAGATTAAGTTCTTGCTGTCTGAAGGACGAGAAAGCAGTGTCCACTCTTCCCCCACTCCCTTGTCTTCCCCCTCCTCGCCCTGAGTTGAATGGTTGCATATCATGTCTGCTGATTCCAGTTTGGTTTCTTGGGGCAGTCACCCAGGTAACCGGGGAACCCAGGTTCCATAGCCTTGCCGGGTTACCTGGGTGACTGCGTCCACCTTCCTGTCGTAGTGTGGTAGAGCAGCTTAAGAGAGCAGGACACTCATGGCGCGGGTGAGAGTGAGACTCTGGAAGGTAAGCAGATTCATTAAGTTGCAGAGGCACTAATTTCTCAGGTGAGAGTGAGACTCTGGAAGGTAAGCAGATGCATTAAGTTGCAGGGGCACTAATTTCTCGTTGAAATTAGTGTGGTGGTCTGCGTGGCTGTTCTGAATCTGGGTAGCAGGGATTCAGGTGTTAACTTGGAAGGTCCCTGATTGCACTCTACGTACATAACATTGGTTTTGGATGTTAAGGAGTCCTGGGGGCAGAGAATGGTCAACTGGAGCCCTTTTAAGTTATGCAGTCGTGAAAGATTTCAGATTGGTCATTGTCACTGGAGAAAAGTTACAGGAGTTCTCCACAAGGATCTGACAGTTGTGAGGCCTAGTAATGCCCTAGTTAGTGACTCGTTTTTGCTCTGCCTGATGGTAGCTAGGTACAGTTGAGAACTGGATTTGTAATTTTAGGTGTTCATGAGATGCAGGCATCAGGACATTTATGTTCTAGTTTAATTCCTTCTGTTAACATTAAATGTAAAAAGTTTATAGTAATTTTATAACTGCATTTTGAAAATATTTTACTGAATTTTAAGAACACTCTCTTCATATTTTAAAACATGACTATTCATAAACTACACAGGCTGATTCAGAAACAGATTGGGGTAAGATTCTGAATGAATATGCTTAGGGAACTGAAGCTAGGGTAGGGTGGGGACATTATTGCATGTGATAATTACTGCTTGCAGCATGTTCACACTGTTTATATGAGGTGAAAACAAGCATCTCTGACCTTCAAGGAGTGAAGGCTCAGAATATGAAGGTGACTGATAATTTCACACCCACATTTTGCATTTATCTTGACCTGAAAAGAAACTGCGTGTTGTCTTTGAATAGTTGAGATATCATTTTGTGATTTAGAAAGGTGTACTCTGGCTAACTTAAAACTTTTGCAAGTATTATTACGTGCTTAATGCCTGTAGAAACCCGATACTTGAGTTGTCTAGAGTTTCTGGACATAGTTTTGATTTAAGCAAATTTTATTGAGAGTAAAACAGTAAAGGAGGTTCTGATTTTCCTTATCACAGTATTTATAGATGTAGATTTGAAGGATGTTTTTCATTCAAGGTGCTACTCAGTATTTGCTGTAGTTTCGATGGTTTTAGTTCTCTGTAATCTTTTTACTAGCATAAACCACAAAGTCTGTAGCATCGTTTTTCTTACTGCTTTGTTTCTAAAATTTTTTGAAGCAAAGACTTTGTGTAATTCCTTAACTTTATGAAACGGCCACTAGTTTGCACTGTGTGACTGTAGAAATATTGGTAGGATGTTGGAAAAGGATCTCGTTGGGTAGAGGCAATCAGTGAAAGAGCAGCTTTCTCCTGCTTTTTCTGTGCTACTACTGTTGCTACTGAAACCTTGCCCCAAATTGAGTTACAGTGACGGTCTTGTTATTCCTCCTTGCTTTTATTCATTTGTCCATACAGTGCTCAGCTTGAGGAAGGGAAGGTGGCACTTAGAGAGCATGTCGCATCCTCTTGAAACAGTGCAGCTGCAGAGCTGAGTGCTGTGAAGCTGGGAGATGTGAGAGGTGAAAGGAGAGTAGTGTCTCCAGCAGTCTGTTGTGAAGGGTGTGAGTGGGATGCAAGTGACGCACATGTTTGTGCTGGCCCACTGTGTGGGATGAACGTCACCTTATATACATACTATGCAAAGAATATAATTGTGTAAAGGAAGTTTGCTTGCATGAAAAGAAGCTTAATGGGGAAACAAGGTAGAGCTTGGAATTTTTCAAAATGATTTATTTCTTGTTTTACATTTCAGAACACTGATCCTAAGTCATCTGTAAAAGGTGTAAGCGGTCCGCTTGGAGAGGGGCCTAGTGATGGACTGCAGCTATCCAGTAGCCTTCAGTTTCTTGAAGATGAACTTGTATCTTCTCCTTTACCTGATCTTACTGAGGATCAGCCTTTTGATATTCTTCAGAAGTCCTTGCAGGAGGCCAATATTACTGAACAGACTTTGGCAGAAGAGGCATATTTGGATGCCAGCATAGGTTCTAGCCAACAGTTTGCACAAGCTCAGCTTCATCCTTCTTCATCAGCATCCTTTACTCAGGCTTCTAATGTTTCTAATTACTCAGGTCAGACGTTGCAACCTATAGGAGTTACTCAAGTGGTACAGCAACCTGTTGGAGCATCTTTTGCAAGCAATACAGTCGGTGTGCAACATGGCTTTATGCAACATGTCGGAATTAGTGTTCCCAGCCAGCATTTGTCTAATAGCAGCCAGATTAGTGGTTCTGGGCAGATACAGCTAATTGGTTCATTTAGTAATCAACCTTCCATGATGACCATTAATAACCTTGACGGATCTCAGATTATACTGAAAGGCAATGGTCAGCAAACACCTGCAAACATGAGTAGTGGCCTCTTGGTTCACAGACAAACTCCAAATGGTAACTCACTGTTTGGTAACTCAAATTCAAGTCCAGTAGCACAACCTGTAACCGTTCCATTTAACAGCACAAATTTTCAGACATCATTGCCTGTCCATAATATCATCATTCAAAGGGGTTTGGCACCAAACTCTAACAAAGTTCCTATTAATATCCAACCAAAGCCTATCCAGATGGGTCAGCAGACTGCTTACAATGTGAATAACTTGGGAATACAGCAGCATCACGTACAGCAAGGGATTCCGTTTGCTTCTGCAAACTCACCTCAGAGTTCTGTGGTTGGTCCTCATATGTCTGTTAATATTGTTAATCA